GCCACAACACCGTGAATTCCTCAGGGAGGTGCCAGCCTCATCCTCTTGAAGTTCCCACGCTTTTGTGGTGAACTAAGAAAACGCTTATCTCCCTGAGCCTGGCCTTCATAATTCATTCCATCACAGATTCTATGATAACATCAAGTTGAAAGCTAAGAGTTGTAGTCCCAACATATCTGACCTAAGGAGAAGACTGATCTAAGCTTCTGAACCTCCTTTGGTTGATTTTGAAGCATATTTTCCCACTGTTGAATGCTGTGGCAGGTAATTTCACAGAATAAAGCCTTCTCCACAATGATAAATGAGAGTGGAACATAATCCTGACATTTCCCCTGCTGGGTCTTCCTGCTGGGGTCCTCTGGCAAGTCAAGGTTTTGTTATTTGGGATGATGAACAGCCAATGGTCTCGATTTTAGAAAAGAAATCTCCTACATCAGTCTGCAGCAAGTTCTCTGGCCCTGTTGCATTCCTGCCCTGCTTTTGTACCCATCGATGGGACGATGCCATGTGAATGAAAACATGCATCCATTGTGTTTTGAATAAATATTTGTTTTCTTGGATGCACACCTGTTGACTTCTCACCCTAGCAGATTTCTGCAGCTGATGGTGGAGAATCCCGGTTGTTCAAATCCATGGGGTGTAGCTTGACGTCAAATAATCTGCAAAAGGGGGTTCCATCCTAGTTTCCTTCAAACCAAGTACAGGTTTAGGCATCTTGGTCTATCTAGATGTCTTGGCAATGGCACAAAAGAAGTTGTTTTCAGATGTTTTCAGCTATAACCCAGGAAATTCCTGATGGTTTTCCATCAAAGTATTAAGCAGATCCACTCCTGGTTAGGTCTGTCATGGTTGGGTGACTAAGAGGCCAATTGTCCAACCAGCCCAACCTTTTCTGATGAACTGAGGTGGCTTTCCCCTTGTTTACCATTACAGCACTCTTAGATTTCAGGGTTCCAGCCTGGCATTCTTATAAGACACCGTTCTGACCCAGAATGCCAATCAGAAAGAGATGGTGGGGTCCAGACCTGGCTTAACATTTCCAAAAGTGGTCCAAAGTGAGGGAACCAGGCAGGTGAGACCTCTGAGATGCATCAACTAAAGGGGTAATGAAAAAAGGAAGTTTTGTTCAGGAGCTCCCAGAACAGGGCATGATGCCAGGAATTAAATGTGCAAATGCCAAAGTTGAGCTGGGTAGGGGGGTGGTTGCAAATTCAATGCTGCTTTCTATGGGGTTTTTGGGGGGGGTAGGAATCAGCACTGCTTGGGCTCCCTCTTACTCCTCCTCTTAAAAGCCCTCTGGGAGAGATAGAAGCTAGGCATGACTGAATCTCTATTTGGTTGCCTAACATTATTTTAATTAAAAAAAAGTTAGAGGAGGAGGAAAAAAAAAAAACACAGATGAAAGAAACTCTCACCATTAACCTGACTTTTAGATTAACCCATTTTCTAAGTTGCATAATACGCTGATCGATCATCTAACCAAGAAGGTTGGGTTTGCAAAACCC